GAAAAGCTAGAAAACTGAAACTTTAGGGTTATGTTCCCTATCTATATATGACCAAGAAATTTTAGATTCAGCTCCTTAAAGCCATCTGGTACTCATGCACGGACACGTGAAAATTTTGATGGGAAAACTGCTAACTCGGGAACGGGGAAAGCTGGAGGCTTTAATTTTAAGGGTATGTTCCCCGCTTATGTGCGACTAAAAAATAAAGTTGGTGGCTTTAATTTTAAGGGTATGTTCCCCGCTCATGTGCGGCTAAAAAATTTTAAATTTAACTCTTCTGCGGTGGCCTTTTTTTGCGGACCAGCTACTTTCCATTTGTCGGGTCACTGAAGTCGACACCTACAACTGACATACCACATAGCTACACAATTAAACATCTCCAAAATTCGAGGGCCAGTATTTCACAGGGTTTGTTACATTGACTCCTTGCGATCTTGCTACGGTGCGAAAAGTGCAAAAACGCATAATCGCATCGGCCCGCCTGGTGCGTTCCAGCCTAGGTTTTCTATTACTCCCATTTTTCGCATCCCTTCTGGAACTTGATCTTCCATTATTCGAACCACTGGCAAAATTTTGGCGTCGAAGCTCGTTTGGATGCCGAGTTGAAATATTCGGACAGACGCACAGACACACCGGGGTCGTCACAATGTGCGTTTTTGTATTTGCATATAAGCCAAAACGCATAAAAACTGTACTTTTTCCTTTCCAAGCAGTACTGCAAGCAATCGTAGCGCTGGCCCGACAGTCTTCTAGGAATACTTTCTCTGCTGCTGATTTCACAAAGAGTTTTTGGCAGCTTTGACTGATCTTTTCTGCCTTTATTCTTCATTTTACAAAACTGACATCCACCTTGCGCGCTCACTAGCGTAAATCGTCGTAAATTTTGCATAAAAGGGAATAAACAATTTCCGTTTAGCGATCATTCTTATTTGAAAATGACTCAACTGTTCAGTGAATAATTTTTCCGCCAAAAATTTAAGTGCCCTTACACTAGAACCATGCATACATGGAGGCTGAATTTGAAACTTTTAATCCACTTCTGGTTCACTTCTGGTTCTTTTCTCATTGTTCCTCGTTTTTGTCGATGCTCCGTTTCCCACCTTTTCCGCAAGCTCAGTAGACAATTTCGATGCCACTGTTCCTGGAATCAGTCCAGACAGCTGTTCGTTAAACATATATTTTTTAATTTTTCTTCCGTTGATGTTGCTTTCCCCGGCATGTAGTCTTCCTCCTCTGCATCATTGTTTTCTCGTAAAGGACTACCGATTTTTGACGATGGATTTATGAAATTGAATGGGCGAAAAATTTCTTCGGAGTCTTTGGTTATTTGCCTCAAAGATGGCGAATTTAGAATTGATTCAATTTCTACAATAGTGGTAATCAGTTCTTCTTTGCTTATGAAGCGGTTTCCCATGGCGCATTTAAACGCTGTTGTTCCATCTTCTGCACTCCATGAAATTGTAATTGATAGTTTTCCGCACCGTCATTCTTCCTTTTTTGACCCACAACTTTCGGCGTAGTTCAGCTAATGTAGGGCTTATACCACAATGCATTAATCGTTCACGAACATCCATTATAAAAAGAGCTATTATTCTACTTCTTGGAAGGTGAATAGGGATGAATTTCGATCCCTGTAATTTTGCTTCCATTGCTCTTTCTCCACATCTTAATATGCCATTTTCATCTTCACACAGTTGCCACTTTTTCCTCTCTTTCTTGGAGATTTCTTACTTTTGTGCTTCCTTGAGAAGAAATCGGGTTGTTATTGCATAATCGGAGACGCTGATTGATTCCCCGTTTGAAATTCTTTTAGCAAGGAGTATCTTCCGCGATACACTATGAATAAATTTTTATACTCGAATCATCGTTCGGACCAACTTGTCCCATTTGCTAAATCAACTTGAAGAAATCCATGTATCCTTTTGGATTTCGTCGATAACTGAGTCGATTACTGTCATTTCTTTCGGTTGTTCGTCTTCGGTCCCAGACAGTTCTTTGTCTTCCTCAAAAATTCTCGGTGGCCATGCCTTCTTGTCTTTGGATAACCACGTCAGCCCCTTCCACCACAGCGAACATTTTTTCAAATTTTCTGGAGTCATTCCCCCTACTCACAGTGTCTGCGGGATCATCAACCGTTGAAACATATCTGAATTCAGCATCTGTTTTCCTTATTTCCCCAAGCCAATTCTGAGCAAATTTTTGCTGCGTTTCCTTTTCCCTATGAATTCAGTTCAACACGCACACTGAATCACTCCAAAGGAACTTTCCCACTTTTTCCATTTGTAACTGATTCAGAACAAAAATTCATTGCTCTCACCCCTATCAATACTGCTAGCAGTTTGCTTCCTGGGAGTGTTGTTCCTTTGATGGGACAGAACCTCTTTTTGAAAATATCAGTGAGCATTGAACATTTTCCCCTGTTCCGTTTTCAAATAGATTACCGTAGCATAGGCATCCTTTGATGCATCAGTAAATACATGAATTTGCTTAACGCTTTTTGTTCCTGCAATTCCTCTTGGAATTTCAAAATTGATTGGATTCCAACTCTTCACTATTTTTGCTCATCCTTCAATTTCTTCTATCCTCAGCTCCTCATCCGAATCATAATTTTTTTTTAATAAATTCTGGATAAAAATCTTCGCTGGCAAAGTTGCTGGACTAATAATAGTTAACGGGTCAAAAATGGTTGTGATTACCTGAAGTGCTGCTCGTTTTGTTTGTTTCCCGTGATTTCTGGAAGCTTGATATTGGTCTGGTCGGTTTTCCAGTTCCATGATATTCCCAACATTTTCGTTATTTCTCCATGAAATGCATTCAATTCTCTGGAACTGGAGATAAATTTGCGCATATTCATTTTTTACTTCGCGGAAAATCTGCTTCACCTCTCCGTAAAGCTGAATTGCTTCTGCATCAATTTCTGCTTCGACAGTGGCGTTGCCCGAATAGAGCTTTTCTCCACCTTTCTAGCGACATCTGATATCGTGCTCTGTGAACGTTTTTTGATTACTGCTGCTAATAAAAATGGAGATGAGATTACTCCAAAACGTACCCTTTGAAATCTAAATACGACCAAATTTGCTCCTTCAACCGGTGCCTCGCTGATTCGTAACCACAAATACCTTGCCACATCGCGATCGGTTTCATTTACCGCCACTTGATGATAAGCCTTCTCAATATCACATAAAATCGTGATATTCATCAAACGAAAACAAAGTACGATTCCACATAAGTCGTTCAACAGTAATGTACCTCGATGCAAAAGGTCATTTAGGCTCTTCTTGTCTGTCGCCTTTGCTGACGCATCGAAAACCATCCTCACCTTCATAGTGTGTTTCTGGGTGTGATCACCGCGTGGTGGGGCAAATAGTGCACAGGGCCGCTTGCTTCTCGAAAGTCCTTTACTTCTTCGACGATTCCTTTTTTCATTTGTTCTACCAGAATTTTTTGATATTTTTTCAAAAATTCAGGATTTACGCGTAATCTGTTTATAGTTGACTTGAGTCGGCCCCATCATAATCCAAAGTTGGATGGCATCGAGATGCTCGCGTTCCTCCACGGCTACCCAACACTACATCGACCCTCTTTTTTGCGGATTGTTTTCTGGAATTGAAGCACTGCTTTTTCATCTTTCTTTTCATTTGCGATTCACTAATTCCTAGGATTTCCAGTCTCCAGAACTGAGAGATATTTACAGGATCACCTATTTTCGTCACTAATTGGACAGCAATATTGCCATTCACTGAACACCATGACGTGTCGCTTGTTGTCGCTTCCCCTAACCTTTTCCGGCAGAAATGTATCCAGTTTCGGAATCCACCAACTGGAACCCTGATACAAACTTTTTTATTATTATTGGTTTAAAATCAAGGTAGTTGGCTCCGATTAGAATTTTCTGCCTCTCTTACTTTCTTTTAAGAATTGATGATTTACTTTTCCACTTAGGATCCACTCCTCTGGTTACCTGGTATATCAATCATTTGTAGGCACGAAGTTATTCTATCGATTGTTCACAGTTTCAGCTCTTTATAATTGCCATTTTTATGCGTTTTCTGCAGCTATGCAATGCAGAAAACGCATATTGACGAGAGGTTGTCTGTGTGTGTGTGTCTGTGCGTCTGTGTGTCTGTGTGTCTGTGTCTCTGTGTCTGTTTGTTCGTCTGTACCGATTTTTATGCGTTTTTGCCTATATGCAAATTGCAAAAACCCATATTGAGACGACCCCGTCTGTGTGTGTATGTGTGTATGTATGTTTGTGTGTGTGTGTGTGTGTGTTCGTCCGTCCGGGTATTTCAACTCGGCAACCAAGCAAGTTCCAGCGCCGGGATTTTGCTAATGGGTACCCCGGCCAGGTACCACCCCAGAACCGCGGTACCATCCTTCACGCACGTCTGGGCCCCGCGTACGAAAGGAGAAAAGTTTCGGCGGGAAAACTGATAACTCGGGAACGTGAAAAGATAGGAAGCTGAAATTTTGAGGTTATGTTCCTCGTCCAAATATAACTCAAAGATTTCAAATTCAGCCTCCAGGTACGCGTGGTTCCCGCATACGGCCCCTTGAGATTTTTCGGCGGGAAAATAGCTAACTCGGAAACTAGCAAAGCTGGGAAGCTGAAATTTTCAGGGAATGTTCCTAGCCCATGTACGACTTGAGTCCATCAAATTCATCCCTTAGGTATGCGCGGTTCTCACGTACGGCCCCATGAGATTTTTCGGCGGGAAAATGGCTAACTCGGGAATTAGTAAAGATAGGAAGCTGAAATTTTCAAGGAATGTTCCCAATCCACTTACGACTTAAAGTTGTCAAATTCAGCCTCCAGATATGCGTGGTTCCCGCGTACGGCCCCGTAAGATTTTTCGGCGGGGAAATGGCTAACTCGGAATTAGCGAAGCTGGGAAGCTGAGATTTCCAGGGAATGTTCCTAGCCCATTTCCCCGCCGAAGAAGTTCGTCAAATTCATCCCCCAGACTTGCGCGGTTCCCACTCACGGCCCCGCGAAATTTTTGGCGGGAAAATGGCTAACTCTGGAATTAGTAAAGATGGGAAGCTGAAATTTTTAGGGAATGTTCCCAACCCACTTACGACTTAAAGTTATCGGATACAGCCCCCAGGCCTGCGTGGTTCTCGTGCACGGGCATTTAAATTTTTGGCGGGAAATTACTAATTGAACGGCTGGGTCATTTTCAAACGTAGGCTGAAACGCACCAGGCGAGCCGGAGCGATCATGCGTTTTTGCACAAAACTTG